CACTCACTCACTCACTCACTCACTCACTCACTCACTCACTCACTCACCACCACCACAGGTGATGGACCCCGATGTGTCTAGATCTCTAGACTTCCTGCTTATAGACCTCACACACACACACTGTTTGGGGTCTCTTGCCGGGATTATGTTTTTTTACTATTATCAAATTGCATTATAGTATATAATTAAACCTATACTGTATACTATTATATACTACTATATACAAAATAATAACTACATATTATTTTTATACACCCAACCCCATCCCTAGGCTTTACATCTTCCACCCAGCCCACCCAGGCGCGGGTTGGTGTCTTCACCGAATCTGTGGGAATGCGCACCTCCGCCGAAGGTGCCTCCGAACACGGTCTCGGGCGAGCCGCCGTCTGTCCAGCGCCTGGAACGGCGTCCGGTCGTGGCTGAAGAAGACTGCTCCAAGACATGACATAGCGTAAAGCCAGCTGAACCCCATGAACTGAATCAAGGAGGTCTACAGTATACCTGGTCATTGGGACCACGCAGCTGGTCCGTCAACGGGATGGAGCGACACGACCGGACGGGATGGGGCGCCGCCGCCCGAGACGGGCGAGAGGGGGCGAGACGGGACAGGATCACGTGTTGAAGGAGTCCGATCCGAACAAGGGTACGTGTTGATGGTTCTTTTTGTCATTGACTCATGGTTTCTATGCATGGAGAAGACGCACAGTCCGTGGTTTCATGTGATGTCAATACGTTCATCGTAATAATGGTAAAGGGAAACGAGACTTGGGGGCCTACGTAGATTTGTGCAAACTTGTTATCTTTTCCCACCAAAAAGGTTTGCAGGGTGTCTCGTCCGTACTGTCAGAATTCCCAAGATAAAAGCCCACCATGCCTTTTGAATACTTCCTCAACGGACAACAATATGATATCTATGATATCTATTGATATTAGTGGAAAATAAATGAACATAACATGAAATTGCCATCATGCCTCAACAGCATAATTAAAAAGTTATCCAGCACGACTTGATGTCTTCCAAGACACCAGTATCACCCTGAAATAGCATTTAAGGTAGGAATCGCTTATAATTCACATCTGACTCAAGACTTCTCTCCCCACCACCCAGCCGCAACCAGCGATTCAGGATCATTTCTGGATCACGGCGCAAGCACATATGATCACAAATCATCACAACATGTTTAAATGGTGGAACTGCCAACTAAACTCTTCCAACATCTCTTCCAACTGAAGCAAAACTGGACTTCGCAACTACATCGTTTTGGCCCTTCCAACTGAGGCTCTCCGCTCCGAGCTCGCTCCGCTCCGCTCTGCTCTCCGCGGATCTTCCGTGACCGTCGAGGTGCTGGACACGATGGTTCATCATGTCAGCGACATAGGTCTCCCCCGTCGAAGTATCCCTCGCTACCTCAAGTGGCACCGGTGTTGGCGGAAAAGGGTGAACGGATGTAGGGACCTATATATAGGGACTCCTCTGGGGTGCACCCGGTCGATGAAAGCAGTCTGTAGTCGTGTGGACCCCAGCAGTTCTCTTTGGTTTTTTTCATGGTTTGTCCACGTTTTTCATCTTTGGGCCTTGGAAACTGCACAAGTTGGAGCTTCCTCGCTTCCTCCACTGGTTTCATTGTGAGTCCCCCAAAGTTGGGATGTGAATAGCATGTGGTTTCTGTTGCCAACCACCTGCAGCCTGTGGTTCATCCACTCTCCACTCTCCTGGAGAGTGGAAGTGCAACGGCATATTCTTCAAGACGTAATAAGGCATAAGTAGGTCAATATTTCAAACACGCCATGTTTGTAAATTATGGCAAATTAATTAAGTCAAATGTATGTCAAAATTCTCGACATTCACCCCGACACCACCCAAATGATCCCAAAGGTATGTCATATTTGCCAACGTCGTCAAGTCAAATCCAAAATACATCTTCAAGAGAACACGCCCTTTGGCCATCGATAGGCCCAGCACAGAAGCTCATCTCTCTTCATGCGAGGTTGCTTGCTCATGTTCGAAGGCCGTTTTTATGACACCCTCCCACCTTGCTCAACTGTTCCTTCTAAAATGCAAATGTCGATAGCCAAGAAAATCAAACTCATCAACCTAAGCGTGGCTTGGTGTCATAAGCCCAGTTCATGTCAAAATACAAAACATACTACAAAACATGCAATTCCCTTAAGGGGCCATGCTCCACAAAAAGCTGTCAGTTCAACAAGTAAAAGCTGCAAGTACTAAATACCACTAATATTACAACAAACATTGTCACCCTCCACGTGTAACATCGTGTAATTGCACGCTTCCCACCCTGTTCCTCCTCCATTTCCGCTTGCCCCTTTTAGTGCACGGAAGAAAACCACAGCGTCTAAACCGCGCTTCCCACCGCGGTCGCGTCTCCGTTTTCCATCCATGGCACGCCATAGGGCTGCCAGAGCTGCCGCAGATCGGCGCCCTGGCGATTTCCACCAGCCAAGACCTCGATGGGAAAGACCGTCTTCCTCAGAATCGGGCGAGTCCGAGCGCGAGGGAGTCCGGCGAGTCGAGGGAGATCGAGGGAGCTCCGGAGACGCGATCGGCGATGTCCGGACGGCTTGGGTGTGGAGGTTCTTTGAAAGCCAGTCGCATTCCCGGTCATGCGCGCTGAGGTCTGGCGCTCTTGGTTGTTTTCGGAAGAGGTGTTGGCTTCGGTGTGGAGATGGAGGGCCGCCTCCCAATACAAACAGGTCCAAGCACCGGACCTTCGTGGATTCCGCCAAAGATCCAGTACAAATGAATTCATCAAAGATGGACTACCCGAAATTGCAACGCACCATAGCATGTCTTTGAAGACTGAAACAAACATTTGCAGCCATCCCAAAATCTATCAAAACAGGTCGGAATTCCAAGAAATCTCCAAAGACCATGTCAGTGTGATTCCTGAAAGCATGTGAGCGTGCTCAGCTGTGATCTCGGGGTGTCTGCCTATGAATTCAACGAACCGGACTCAAAGCAACCTGTGAAAGACGGAGGGGAGAATCAAGGTTCAACAAATTAACTCCACCTAAATGAACTCCACCTGTTCTTCTTTATGCCTGGAGCATCCTGTCTGGGTGTGCTAGCTGGAGATCCGCACTTGATGCCCCCCCAACCTCTCTGGTCAATGAGAAACAATGAGAAACATTATAGTCGTGTTTTTGGAGCCACATCCATCTATAGACGTTCTGGCATTCTTGTACGCAAGAACATCACTTGTCAGGTGAGAGCACTGGGGCAAATTGCTGTTCCCTGGAAGACGAAAACCCACGACGGCCAAGTCGCTTCACGACGCCCCCCCGCCAAGCGACGGGCACTCCTGCCAGCGTGGCACTGGGTGTCAGGGTTCGAAGCCATTTTCAGCGTTGGACGCGGCTGGCGTCTTGATATGGGTATTGTTATGGGGTTTGGATGGGCCTCAATAGGGTTTGGATATGATATTTGTATCAGAGATGTCATATTATACTTTAAAGAGCACCTCTTGAAGTTCTTGAAGGAGTTCTGGTTGTAGGTCACGAAGTGAGTCCTTCTCATGCGATTGTCATCCGATTGTCCATCCCTTGTCTGATCCTTTTTACATGCTGCCTCGGTTGACCCACTGATCCAGCAGCTGATTCCAAAACAGCAGGTTGAATCATACATGTTTGATCGAAAAAAACAACAAGAAGCGGAGGCCTTTTGGTTTAGTGAGCAATACGTGTGTGTGTATCTGTGTATGTGTCAAAATAGGGAGACCTCCCAGTTCGACGAAACATGACCAAAACCCAAATTATCATCAATTAGGAGCAAGGACGCTACTAGGGGCTCCTGGCCTTACTACTAGGAGC